GACACCCCGCCGCGCTACCGGGCCCCGGGCGCCTCCCTCGGGGCGTCGACCCTCCTTCCTTAGGACGCGGGCAGCGGCCGCGCAGGCTGCCCCGTCCCGGGCGGGAGCCACGTGCTTACCCTCGGCAGCATCCTCGGCTCGCAGTCCGGAATTGAGCGGTGCCGAGCGGCTCCGGGCGCTGACGCCTCCCCTCGAGCGGGCCTCTTCAGCGGGGCGAGGCTGGGGAGCAGGACTGCTCCGGGGGCGCCGTGTTAGATAACTCGTGTCGGTGTTAAAACAGGTTACGTGGCCACTTCTCCATGCTACCATGCTAAGAAAGTTAAAAGACACCGCAAAATTCAGTACAGCTTAAGGCAAGCTAGTTCCGCCAACAGAGAAAATGGCATCTCCTGAGACCCTCCAGCTAGAATGGGTATCTGTTTGGTCATTCCAGCACTCAAAACCACAGCCATCCTTCCCCCGGATTGGTGGAAGCAGAGTAAAACCACAGTGAACGTAGAAATTAATTAAAAAATAATAGTAATAAGAGAGAAGCCATCAGGGTCCATCACCTCCGCTGCATCACTAATCTGCATTCTGGTTATTATTCACACTTCACTTAACAGTAATGCTGTTTACCCATAATATCCACTGGTGGGGTCAGCAAGGCAAGTGTAAAATTCCCGAAGATAAAAATGTTTTGTGTACTAAAAGTTATTTACTAAATCGCATCTGTTTCCTACTCTGTATTTAACTTAATTGCTTAAAAATAGTCACAGTAATGAAATAGGTGGTACTTCCTTTAACAGCTTGCTGCCTAATGACATCAAAGCCCAGTGCCACTGAAATCCATACCCCACTGCCAGTTAATAAAGGTCTTAACATGAAAGCCTATGCAAAGAGCAAAACCAAGCTGCTGACAGGAACAGGAATGGTGCAAATATGCTGGGATCCGAGATCACTAGCACATACCCACAGCACAGCAGGCAGTAATGATTATTAATTATTTAAGAAAAGAACATGAGAGCTCCAGCATAAGCTGAAAAAAAATATGCAGAAGTGCTGCTCTGGGATCCTCCAGTTGGATTACAGTTAATTAGTGCAGAACATGAGTCTGAGGGAAAGATCTAAAAGCATCTTATGCTAGTAGGAGCATATAATTAAGCCATCATTTGCATCTTTGCAAGAGTATGAATTTTCTTACTGATAACATCATGGGCAAAACACCATTTTATGACTAAGTATTGTCTAGCCTTCCTATTCTAATTTAGCTGGCTGACTGTACAACAGTGTAATGCAATCTGACATAGCATCAGTTTAACATCCTGCTCTTATTCGGAAAGGGTTTTAGCAGAGAGAGATAGTGTAATGCTTCCTCTACCTTTGGAGAATTTTAGATGTATTTTCTAGAGTCTAAATCAGCTTCTGCCCCACCTTAGTTTGTTACCATCAAGCTTAGTGAAGTGCTCAGCTATCCAGCAAAGGGACATCTTGCCATTATGGTAGTCACCTGTATCATCCTAAAACATGATGGATGCTCAAGTGACCTCTTAACTCTTAGTTCCCCAAAAGATTTAGTAGAATATTGTTCTTGTCTCATGGGAATGCACAGGCTTCCACAAAGTAAACTGAAAATACAAGTGCACTGCATTTAACAAATCCATTATCTTTCTGATCCTCACGCTACTTGCTCCAGCCACAAAATGGGAAGAACACAACTTACCATCAGCAAGAGGAAGGTTAGGAACTTTAACTATCAAAAAGGTTGTCTTTCTAGAATTTTTACAAGTATTGTATAAAGATTGAATATTCTTTTATAAAAATCTAACAGATTGTGTTTTCAATAGCTTCTAATCTCTTCTGTTTAATGAGGCTGCTGTTCATTCCAGCAAGCCAAAACTTCATGAAACCTTCTCTGAATCCTGCCCGACTTTGAAAAATTCTCAGTTCACTCTGTCCTTCTCTGATCTCCAATTCTTTCTTAATCAGCTCTGAAATTCATTTAGGATTGCTTCACAGTACAGCTGCTTCCACCCTCCAAGTCCCTCTGTATTTGTTGGCATCTCTCTCTCATTAAGGGATTCCAGCAGCATCTGTACGCACAAGCCCTGCTTTCATTATCCATCTGATTTAACCACATGCAACAATAATGCAAACTCCGTTTCTCTCCAAGAAGTGTCTGGTACCCAATGAGGGAATTGTTTTTTAGTTTAGAATCTTGTTTTCATTTGGTCATCTTTTGTATTTCAGACTTAGTCTGACAATTCCAATCTATCAAAACCATGCTCTGATGCAGACACAATACAGTGTTTCCTGAAAATTAAACGCAGTTCAGTGAATCAACTCTTTGCACACTTGAGCCACTAAAATAAATGGAGGGTCCTAACAGTCAGTTGAAATTTTTGTGACTAGTGTTGAGCCCAACTTGCATCAGAGAGACTATACTAGAAAGTTAAAGAAATAATTTGGCAGCCTTAGTTACAATAGTTAATGTTTCTACACAATGTGCAGTGAGGAGGTATGCAGAAATGTCTTAGCTGGACAAAAAAGCCCTTTAGTGTAAAAAAAGCTATGACAATCTTTTTTTTTGTTAATCCAGACTTCGTTTCTATAGTAAGAAACCTTCTCAGCTGCGTATTTTATTCAAAACCAGAAGTGTTCCCAGATTAAATTTGGTATATACAAAGTTGCAAAGCACACTTTTAGGACAACGTTACAGAACTTAGTTCCATTTCCAACTTACAAGGACATTAACTGGACAATCAAAAGAAAAGCTATTTACCCAGACATTAACACTTCTCTCCACAGGATTTTGCAGGTGGTTCTGCCTGATGGCTTTCAGTACATCCACAATTATTAGCAACCCATTTTTGGAGGCATGTTGAAAACACAATCCTAAACATTATTAAGCAGCAAACTATTATGATATCAAAATAAGAAGAGGTGTCCAGGATTAGAAGTTGTTTTTAAAAGAAATCTGCTATTAAATATATAATTTACACAGTAGCGTGTTAAATTACAGTAGATATTCAGTGCATGTTACATCAGTGCCTTACACATAGTTATGCCCACTAACATTATGTCTGTATTTCCTCTCTTAAGACCTTATTTTAGAGACTACTTATTCAGAATTTATTTTTTTTTTTTATCCTGTCAGACAACATCAGATACTTGGAGGCCACCTTTTCAAGTGCTATGAACATCAGCAGCTCCCACTTGACTGAGGAGGGAAGCTTGGATGTTTAAAAGTTATGGGATAGAAATCTCAGGCAACATAAAGACAATAATTCTCCCCTCTCCCTCACAGGAGTAAAACACCATTAAATTTTAAAACTCCTACAACCTCATAGCAAGACAAGGTTTCTCCATGACTCCTAAAGAAAAACTCTGCAATATGAGCACTCCTATTCATCTCTCATGGGTAGCTAAGCAGAATTGAAATAAGAGTTTACTTCCCTAACAGAAAAGACTTCCCCCAAACTCAGTGAGGATAACTGAAAAATGATGGAAGTGGGGAAACTAAAAGATGCCTACAGGCTGGCTTTTACTCCTTTAAAATGTACAAATTATATTTGGCCTTATAAAGGAAGGGAATGGCCATACCTGAAACAAAACCTAATGGCTGTATTTTAATTTGCCGACCATTTCAGCAACTGATGATACAACCTTAAATGCCTGGTCAGCAGGGTATCATTAATACAGAATTCTCTGTCAAAATTAATTTGATTTTAACAGGCAAGGTAACATGATAAACTAAGGAATCTCTTAAGAAGTCTTGCATTTTTCCTTTAAGACAAAGATAACTTGTTACTTTTCCATTCAAGATCAAAGGAGGGAAATAATAGGAGAGAAAGACACAAGACAGAGCATTTGAAGCTTCAATTTTCTAACACTTTTTCTTTTAGATCAGTGCAATCACTAGATTCACCTTATAGAGACAGAAGATTCAAAAAGGGAGGTTATGTACAGCCAAAAAAGAACTCTGGGCAACTTTGCAGATGTGTTTAAAGCTACCATACTTTACAATTCTTATTTCAGAAGTAAAATGATAAACAAAAAACAAAGCACTTTTAATCTTCAAAGCAATGTATGATCAGTAACAACTTCACAGCATTCAATATTCTTAGTATCATAATCTGTATTTTACTCCAGGAGAGAAAGATGTGTAGAGAATAAGTCATCTGCTTGGGTCTAATGCTGAACCAGGGCTGGAACTCAAACATTACAACCTTGTACGTTAAACAACAAAACCATGCTTTCATTTAAGAGTTATTTTGTTACCAGTTTTTATTTGAGCAAATTATTATTATAATAAATAGATTATAGACTTTTTTTCCAGCCCCTGCAGAAACATCTAAGATACTAGTAGAGGGACATCCCAGGATTATTTGCAAAATATTTAGTGCAGCACACCAATTAACTTACTATGCCTCTGAAATTAATCTAACCACTTCAAGTAGGTTCCTTAAATAGCTATTTGCTAGGGTCAACACACGAATAGCTTCACCCTGGCAACAGCTTTCTTGTTAAACTACACTTACAGTCAAGGCATTCTGCAGGACATACCCAGTGTCTAAGTGCCTAAGCTTTCTGACCCTTCACAGCTTTTGAGAAGGGAAGTCTGGCCTGGCATGCCAAAACGTGCAATGATACTGGTCACTGATCTCTGTCTCATCTTTGTCCACCTAAATCATGAGATTATCTTTTCAAGAGCAGAAGCAGCACAATGTTAAAAAGATATTCAGTCAAGGATCAATTTAATAGAAATTTTACAACTGCCTGCAGTACAGAAACTTTGAAAAAAATTCCTGAAATATTTGCAAATGAGTAAAAAAGTTTCTCCTGGAAACCTACACCTCTCAAACTACAAGGAGAAAGATTTCCATATCACTGTACTGTAAATTTACTGTGATCTGTGGGAGTGCTGAGATTTAATTTACATACTAATGCTGCAAGCAGGTTGGGGGGTGTGGAGGGAGAAGAGTTACTTGAGCACCAGTAATGAGCAGAAAGGAAAAGAAGGCAGCTACAGTCCCCATAGACTGTTTTGTTTTCAGTAATTTTAGACTGTCTAATAACGCCTTTTAATAAGCTGCTCTCAGCTATAAAGCTGCAGCCTTTGTCAGTGAACATAATGCTGCCCCAGACAGGAAAACACTTGTGACGTGATGGACAAAAGACCCCATCTAAATAAAAGCTTCTTAAAAAAGGAGAAAAGTTCCATCAGTGAAGGACAAATTATGCTGTCTATACTGTGTATCCTTTCATTTCTAAAACACTAGATAGATTTCAACAGGATAGCTATTAAAGCAAAATATATTCTAAACCCCACGTTTTTCTGGTTTACTCTACTGCAGCCCTAGTTTACAATTAGATGAAATAACTTGTTTACAGGGTTTTTATGCCCTGTAAGTGCAATCTAAATTATAACTGATCATGCTAATTTTCTGTTTATAGTCTATGCTACCCACTTAGTCTGTGACTACTATGTGACAGAGATTAATGTTGCAATTGGCTACCCAAATTTAAAACTATTTCTACTCCACTCAGTTTAATAGCAGTTCTCACTGAAGCTCAAGTCTAGCTATAAAAGCCTAAGATATAGATATGATAGATAAAACCTAGATGTTCTGCTCCATTAAATACAGGATTCCTCAAAACACTGGGTCACCTCTGCTGACAAATGCAGGTCCAATCCACTGTTGCCAAAACAAGCCATGGCACCATGAACTGGAACTGAATCTGCCCAACATTTGGGTCTAAAGGTTCATTTATAAACCATTACTAATTCTAAATGAATTCAATATCATCCTTTTAGTACACATATTTCTTAATTTTTGTAATTCAAAGCACAAGATGGAAAGAAGACCACCTTTTTCCTAGGAATTATTCTGATCTTTCCAGTATTATTACTATCCTTTTCTTTCCAGCAATAGACTTACTGTGATGGCAGATACCCCATTTTACACATCAGTTCAGAAACATGCCTAGAATTTAAGACACATTGTCAAAAAAATACCCTATCACTAAAACCAGCACAGAATCTGTTTGTCCTGAAGATACATCTTCGCAATACAGGTAGAGATCTCTGCTTAACCTCTTTTTAATGTTATTTTCTGGAGAGTTAGCAAAAAGCATTGTGGCATTTGGTTATTACACTTTGCTCTCATTTAAGAAAAAACAAATTTATCACTGAGAAAAGACAGATAATTTGTGGAGTTTAAGCAGCAAAATGGTAGCTTTCTTCTCTTGATACATTTCTGCCCCACCTTATGGGAAGGAGAACTGACTGTATCTGTGACTGGCAAGTCACACTTTCTCTGAGGGGTGCCAGATAATAATAGCACGTCAACACACTCACAGCCAAATGCTCCTTTTGCCAACGAGATTTCATAATGCTTCCTCCACTTCTGAAGCTCTCCAAAGAAAGGAAGTGCTAACTCCCTGTTAAAACATCTAGTCCAAATGATCCAAAGCTGTCTAACGTTTGAACTCTTTTTGCACAGAAATAGGGAAATTACTTTTTTTTTTTTTACATTAAATTATGGGGGGTTTGCTTTTTTTTTTTTTACAGCTAGAAGCTGTATACTTTTCCCTAGCTAGTGGTAAAATAAGGGGAACAGGTATGAAATTCAATTAAGAAATGCCCTTTTTTTTTTTGCAATATCATCAGATTAGTGCCTGAATATATAGCAAGGGTAGAACAGATCTGAAATGCACATTTCTGAAGCTGAAAAAATTCGCAGTGAAATACAGGCTCAGCTCAGACAAAATGCTACCAAGTACTGAATTAAAGTGTGAAGCAGCCAGTACTTAAAGAACAAGATCCCCAATACTGATTTTACAAAAAAAAAAAGTTTATCAGGAAGTCAAACACATATCTGGAGTCCCAAGTAGTTTCTCCACCCTCAGAGCTAAAAATTCAACAATATAAGATTTTTAAATCCTCTTAACAGCCTGAGATTATTCAGGATTCTAACTTCTTTGTGGAGGCACAGACCCTCCTCTCTCCACAGCACCACCATCTGATAATTAGACCCAGCAACACTTGCACTGACCACGTAAGGAGATCTTTCGCCCCCTTTTCAAACTTGTTTCTACTTGCAAGCTATTTCATGCCATTTCACAAATACTGGGAAATAACGGTATCATGTAGTTATACACCCAGAGCTAAAGCAAAAGGTCACAGAAAGGGCTTCTCATTGCCATTTCCTATCAATTCCCTGTCATTTCAATACGCAAGGTTAGATGACTGCAGAAGCCTCCCGACAGGGCTTCCATTGTTTGTCAGTCAAGGCTGGGATACAATGACACTCATTCATCTGCACAGCAAACAAGCAGCGAAGGGCCAGTGATCAGCATACACTCTCATTTTGGTTCTTCTGCAAACAGTTTGTAGAAAGACGGTATTTCAAATAAACTATGTCAATTTTTCAAAGCTTCAATGCATTCCTAGTACAAACTACTTAGTAGGGAGTCCAGACAAAAATTAGCACAACTTGAGAGCAATGTGAAGAATCACCCAAGAAAACACTCGCTCATTAGGACTGCTCCTGAAAAAGATCTGCTTGCTACAGCCACATGCGAAAAGATTATGTTTAATAGTTAAAGAAATACACATTCAGAAAAGTTCAAAATAGCCGATTCTTTCCAAAGACAGTCATACTATGCTTTTGTTTTAGAGTAGCACTTAGTGTTCAGCCTCAGAGCTTGTATTAATAAGGGGTACAGACACCAAGGTTCCAAAGTGCACTTAAGGCTGTTTACTTCATATCTTCTGGTTAAGAACCCAAGAGGTTTACGGTTTGGATTTTTTTTTTTCCTTTTTTGAACATATGAAAAATAGAAAAAACAAACGTAGTATGACAGAAGTCCAATGCAGCTGATAACTGGAGAGACACAAGCCTCACGCACCTCTTCATTGTTTGGCCTTTTCTACTTCAAAACTTGCTAGAGCAAAGACTTTGTCTCCTGATCCTGTGAGAGGAAAAAATATTTTCAGTAAGTATTAGTAAAAATTGTCAATTTCCTTATCTACAATTTAAATCAAACATAACATCTGAGATCAAAAGAAATCAAACCTATATTTTGAAAACTAGAACACATCAGGTAATTTATTAAAAACACCTCAAAAACACACATACTGGCTTGACTGGTCTGGAACCAGCCATGTCATACTAGGTCTGGCTGGGATGGAGTTAACTTGCCCCACAGCAGCTCTCATAGTGGTGTACTTTTATTTGTAGCTAGAATGGTGTTGGTAACACAGGGATGTTTTGGTGCGCGGTGTTCCCACAGCATCAGGCTGTCTCACCCTCACAGGCCTGTCAGCTTGGGGTGGGCAGGAGGCTGGGAGGGGACACAGCCAGGACAGTTGACCCCAACTGACCAGAGGGACAGCCCACACTGCACAACACCATGCTCAGCAATAAAAGCCAGGAGAGAGGATGAGGTGAGGAATTTGCTATTAAAGCATTCGTCTTCTGACAGAACTGCTACACGTACTGCGGCCCTACTTCCCAGGAAGTGGATGGACACTGCTGATGGAAGTAAAGAATAAAGCTTGTTCGCCTCTAGTTCCGTACACAGCCTTTGCTTTTCTTTATTAAAATGCCTCCACCTCCACCCACGAGTTTTTATTTTCTCCCCCTGTCCTGCTGAGGGGGAGAATGAGAGTGCAGCTTGGTGGGCACCTGGTGGCCAGCCAAGGTCAACCCACCACACACAGAGAGCTTCTAACAAAGAATCTTTTTGAACAAAAGTGTTCACACCTTGCTCACACTCCGGGGAAGAGAAGTGCTGAAAGGCAGGTCACAGAGACACTGTGGTAGGTAGGTACTCTGACCTAGTCTGGCATGTTCCTGCCATTTCAAAGCTTTAACAGTAATGCTAGAATGAACTGTTGTGCTTATTTAATGCATATTATAACTGAATTTTGGTCTTGCCACAACTAATCATATTGACAAGAAGGGCGCTTTATAGCCGGTTTTTGACAGTGTGCCAATAATTGCCAAGTTCTCTGCATCAAGCAGACAAAAGGGCTCTCCTGAAGAGTCATTAATGCAAAAAAGCTCTGTGTTTAAGAGCAGTATCTCTGCTTGAGACAGACCATTCAAGCCCTCAGCATTATGGACAACACTTGGCATTTTAGACATTTGGCACTGGATTTGATACATTACTTTTTCCTCATGGATAGTGTATCAAAGTTTCACTGTTAATACAACAGAAAAACATACATCAAAATTTAACGGCATGAATCTTCTGTTTGTGTTTTCTCTTTCTTGGGGAAGTCACAGGTATTTCTATTAATCAGTGTTCAATGAGGCAAAGGAATTGGAAATAACGAGAAAGAAAACTTACCAAGGTCAGTGGAGACTCTCTCAAATTGGCTCAGGGCTGTACCAGCATTTGCTGACAAGAACATCTCATCATCTGGAGTGAGCTAAATCAAAAAAGGCCACAACTGTGAACTTGGGACCTTAACTGTGCATGTTCCCACCACCTACACTGGCACAGACACAAACCCTGACAGGTTACAGCAATCTTCAATTCACAGTTTTTAAGCAGCAGTATTATCCAACACATTAAAAGCCAAAGTAAAAGCACAAGCTACTCCCCCCATCACTGAATTTTTTTCTCAATGGTGCCTTTCAGCCCAGGAAGGACAGCGTATGCAACATCAGACGTGACTCCACATGCACCAGGTTCAAGCTGACCTTCAGTGGTGACTTTGATGAAAAGGTCACACAGTACCTCTCTATCAAAACTGTACAAAGGATGTCAATTACTTTTTTGTCATGTGGTGAATATAGTGAGGAGCTAAGGTCTAAGCTTGCTTCTTATCCTCTACTGCAGAAAGCAAAAATATGCAGTCACTACCAGCTTTGACCATGTGAAGACTCAGTGACCTAGAAATGGTTCTCTTCCTTTAAAGTGACGTTTGCATGTGTAGATTTTGCTTTTATCTATGTGCTCTGATGCCTTGTGACAGATGCCCATAAAATATTTACAATAATGAAGTAGTAACCTACATTTGGAAGATTCACATATTCTAAGTTAAAATTTGCTCATTTAAGTAGCATTGGATATATATCCTTATTAAAGCAAAGCATAAGCATGTCAAACTGTCCACAGTGTTTCCATCAGTTTATTAAAAATACAAAGATCAGGTACAGACATTCAGAATTATGTTGGAATGAAGGAAAAGTCTTAATTACCTGCCTTTGCTGTGCTCTGTAAGCAAGCCTCTAACTACTTAACGTTTTGCAGTACTGTGCAAACAAACGTGTAATATTTACCATCATTTTTCACATTCAGAACAGATGTGGAACTACTATCCTAGCGGGTCCTTTGTGAAGGTTACTGATTGTTTTGAAAGATAATGAAGTTATGTCAAGATGTGGTGAAGTGGCTTGTCTGAAGTGACCCAAGGAACTCACGCCAGGAGGATTAGACATCTTCATGCATTCAGTTCACAAACTTAACTAGCCATTTAATCAATTTCCAGAACATTTTTTTCCTCTGACAGCCAAGCAATAAAATTTTTCTGAGAGAAAGCATTTGCTAATATCATCTACTCAGAATGCAGCTCCTTTAAGTACTGCACTTGATCTTTTCCATTACATTCCCTCATTTCCTAAGAAAGTTGAAGTACTGAGATACACAGCGACCCATTTTCTTCATATGCCATCAACAATAAGAAATAACAACTTCTCTTCCTCCCTCTAGTGGCAAAAACCAGGGATTTTTCTGCAGCTGGTGTACCCATTGGGGAAACAGTTTCTCTCTCATCTCTCCATTTTATTTATCTTGCACCAAGAGGTAGGTATTATCACCAATACAAAAGTTAGTAAAGCTCAGTGTATGTCAGAAGTCTTGGAGAGTTCATGCCAGGTGGATAGGTGGTAGTTAGCCAGTAAAAGACTTGTTTTGTAACTTTTATAAATACCATCAACTTGTACCAACTTACATGAGATTCATTCGTATGACCCATCAAAAAAAAAAAAAGAAACATTTTAAAGTAGAAACAGCCTTATATAAATGTACAATACTCTTTTATATATATTCAGTACTGAGTTCTTCAGAAAGCTTATCACTGAAATGGAAAGACATTTATGTACTACAAAAGCAAGCTGTATTTTAATATTTGCTCATAAACAGAAGTTGTAATTTCTTATTTTAATTATTTCAAATTCCTCTTCAATAGACAAGAAACCACTATTCACCTAGCCATCATACCAACACCTTACCTTCTCACCAAGCTTTCTGAGGGCAGTCAGGATTTCCACTTTCTGCTGCGTGTACAGGTCTCGTCCCAACTTCCCAACCATTAAGTCTCGGTCCATCTGCATACCAGGCAGGAAAGCAAGTCAAATCTATGCTTCACATTAGTCTCACTCAACACAACAGCATGAGAAAAGCAACAGCCTAAAAGTACCATCAGTAAGCATGGTACCCACAGAAGTAACACACAGAGCTACCTGTAATTTAAAAGATGGCTATGAAGTTTTTCTGATCATTATGCAAATACTCTTTGCACCTAACCTTAGCATTCTTGATTTCTCCAAACCTGAATCTTTTAATCAGACTGCTATTCATCCAAAATTATGGATTCATTGATCACTGACACATGAGAGTCATATTTAATTTCACTTTATCTGGATCTCAAGTTCAGCCTAGATCAAGTGCACTCTCCAGACCCCTCAATACAATTACAGATTCATACTCTTCAGATTTTTTGTTTGCAGTTATACTCAGTTCTCTGTTAATCACATCTTTGCTTTGAAGCAGCAGGATAGAAGATAATTCAAGAAATACACATTGTTGTCCCCATTACCTCAGTAAACATTTAAAACCGAACAAATTCTGAAAGAGAACTTTTCTATCTCCACATGATGCTGCCACCAAGTTTTCTAACACACTTGGTGCTCTCCTTGCAATCATTACATATTTAAATCAGTCTATCTCAAATAAGCAGTTCTTACAGTAAAACAGAAACCTTCACCTCTGCCAGCTTTGTCCTCAATTGCCTTGGTTGCTTCTTTGCAAACATTCTAATTACTTCTGGAGTTTTAAATGCTTGGCTGATGGCTGCTTGTATTGCCTACAAGGAAAAGAGCAAGAATGACCAGAACTAAGAGCAGGCAATAGCTGCATGACAAGATTAATGAAGGCTGGAAAGCATCATGAGTACCCTCTGCATCATTTGATACCAATAGAAGCAGGATGAAAATAATATCTAATCTTTATGCAGGGCTTGAAAAATCCACTAATTAGTACAATTACACTGAGATAGAGCTGTGAAAATTTTCATTACAGTCCAGGTCTTAATTTCTAATAATTTCCAACATCTTCCTGATATTAGCAGATGTGGATGTGCTAGGCTATCTTTAGCAATTTTAATACTCACACTAACAATTACAGCTCTTCTAAGGGTAACCACAACATAAATGAGTTAAGTCAGCTACTGTTATTCAAAATCCTCTGTGGACTATCAAAACTATTATGAGTAAATCTCACCACAGTTATGTTTGGTCAAATCATGATCTCTCTGGAAACAAAACCCTAAAACACAGGACTCAAAGAACAAATCATGATCTAATTAAAGAGCTGAAAAGAGAAAAAATAGATTAAAAGTTTTCAAGTCAGCATAAAATAAGACCAGTTTACTAAAAGAACTTAAAAAGTTACACAGTTGCTCCTACAGCCTTTTCATGTGGACTGGTATGAATGTGAAAATAAATCAGCAATAAAGCACAGGAAACGTAAACTTTATGCTTTCTAACACAGCATGAACTTTATTTCTCATGATACATAGTGTTCTGGATGGTCCCTCACACCATTTATATTAATTTGTATTATTTTATAGTATTTTCTAATATTAAAGATATGTTTACTCTCTGCAATTTCCCTGCCTTTTTTTTTTTTTTTTTAATAGTGTTATGGTTTTAATTCTTCAACTTTTTTTTCTTTTAAAATGAAGAGACCTAATGAAATTTTTTATAGGTATACATCTATTAAATAATAAAAACATTAAATACATAGATCTAGCTTTCACATGTGCCTGTCTAAAATTTATCATGAACCACTTGGATCTATTTACTATTACATTGAGTCCAGGCAGAACCTGAAATATTTTTAGTAACACATTCTCCTTACCAGTTGCATCCCGCTGAGCTCATCCACCAAAGTCATGTCCCCAGACATAATCTTCTTCAGGGAGTCATTGATCTCACTCAGCTGTTCTAGAGTTTCTTTTTTGGTCTCCTCATACTCATCTGCATCTAGCTCCTCTCTAAAGAGGATCCAACAAGACATGTTAATTCACAGAATTAAACCCTAGATGTAATGTGGAGATATGGAGATCGGGGAATATCATGAAGCATGCTTCCTCAGATGGCAATGGAAACACTCATATCCCATGAAATTACTCCACTCTAGCCCTCTTAGCTGTTATTTAGATAATGCACGTGTATTTTCCTTGGGTTCGCACCACCTCCTATCTGCCCATACACTTGTGTTGTTTGTATTATGTCATTTGAGGTAAAAAGGCCCCAACAACTATGAGAGACCCAATACTTGGTGCAATATTTAAAAGTGTGTTTTGGATCTCAACAGAAGTGCACTTGGGATTCTCTTGGTCAAAGCTATGGTGAATGAAATTATCTGAGAAGCCCATCTCTTCACCCAAAACCCAAAAAGTTATTCAGGAATAATTGATCCTGCTGTCTAAACCCTGGCCCATTCAAAAAAAGGCACTACCAGACCTTAGCAGTTATAATTTTTCTTGAAAAAAAAATGTATTCTGCTTGGACAAGTTATAGTCAAAGAAAGCATCTAAAACCACACAGGATGTTTAAGTACAAGTACTGAAACAGAAAAAAAGCCCTTCTGTGGTAACTCAGTCTATCTCAATCTTTATCAGCCCACAAAACACTAACACAAAAATCACATGAATCAAATAACATTAGACAAACTAAAAAACAACCAAAAAACCAAACCCGAACATCTGTAATAAGACAAAATAGACACAAAATCTATTTGCTAACTGCTATTAAAAAAAAGCCCATATAAAAATGGTGTATTCTGTGAACAGCTATTAAAAGTTAACAAAGTCACACCTAAGTATAAAGTATTAGAGAAAACAGTAATGAGTATTTCTGCCTGCTTTTTCCTCAAGAAGATAATAGAATCATATTAATAACAGGAAGGGTTTTTAAAGGAATTTTTACTACCTAACACAAACATCCTACCTAATTGAAAAAAAATTTAAAAAAAAGCCACAGCAAAACACAAAACACAAACCCCACAAGACTTCTGAAAGGTACCACTTTCTTCTGCCAACCACTTAAGAAACATGGTACCATATAAGAGGAAAGCATCTATTTTTATTACCTGCATTCCTCCAGATCTTGAAGCTGCTGCATTAACCTATCCAATTGCTCTTCCAAGTTTTGTTTTAGTTTACTGGTCTCTGTTGTTCCTCTTGAAGCCATTTTCTGTTTTCACGTGAAAATTTTAAGTTGTTACATGACACTCCTAGGAGAAAGAACATTTTGTTGAGTATCGACAACTTAAAAGTTTATTTTTAAATACTCCAGATATCAAGAAAATTATGCAGTAGCTTGATGACTGAACGTGGAGACCCTTACAGGGGAAGTACAGAAACGTTAGGCTGTGTCTAGGGGATTGTAAACTTGTAGCAAGTCACCAAAATAATATAACTCAAACAACCACAGCACGTAAAAAATAACAAGCTTCAAACCAAGGAGCAATTTCTGAAACACTGAGGCCCCGCTATATGAAACACAGATTCTCCTCTTCAACGGCACCATCTAGGAGACAACTACCCGGATGCACGTGTCTGAAGCATCCGAACACCTAAATTAGAATCATTAGCTGCAGAAAACTAGAGAAAACCCGTGTTTCTTCGGGTATCGTTAGGAGCAGACAGCTAGCCGGCGGCAGCGATCAGCGGGGCTAATCCTGGGGACACGCACCGGCCCCACAGCCTCGAGCAGCAAGTTCCGGGGGGCTGCACTGACGCCAACGGCTCCAACAGCCGGAAGACAGACAAGGAAACGCCATCCTCTCCGCTGGAAAGGTGCGAGAGCGGCGAGCGGGCGGGAGGGCCGGGGGGGGTGTGGCAAGAACCGAGGAGAAGGACCCTGGGAACTCGCCGAGTCCGGCCTGCCTGTCCCCGAGGCCAAGTAGGGCTTTATGCATTACAAAGACAAGCCTAACTCCTTTCCTTGCCGGTTCCCATAGTAACTCTTCTAGCTGATGCCCCTGTGAAGACTGCATTCCAAGTAACACCAAACCCTTCAAATGCTGAACTACTCCACAGTAATAAAGAATATTTTAAAAGTTTGTGAAGGTCTTGAAAGCACAGAGAAGTACTAACACTTGCAAAATGTGAAGCTTTGCAAGGCTTCCTTTTATTCAAGGGTTATTTGATTTTAGTACATACCTGCTGTTACAAAATTTAGCTGTGATGGTATCTCAGCACTGTAAGGGCTGCAGGCATCACTCAGCTTCTTTGTAAAGAAGACAAAATCTGAGGGTGACCTTGTGGTATTTTTCCAGGCAGTGATGTTGCTGTAGAAACAATGGCAGATTATTCAGTGCTCAACACAGATGTCTCAGACATCTCACAAACAGCAACAGTGGGAGAATGGCCCATAACATATTCCAGTTTTCATTTGTTAAGGGCCAGGCTAGGGGAAACCATTTTGGCAAGCCAGAATATTCTCATGAAAGAAAATACTGAGAAACAAAAATCCCTGTAGCACGTGAGGAGAAATGAAAAATAGTGAGATTTCCTTATTTTCACCTCTCCTTAAGCAGCTTTCTGAAAGTGAAGTTCAAAATTGGAACAGTGATGTTGTATTTTAAAAAAGGAGAAAAAAAAAGATATTTAATTGCAGCTTTAGCTAAATTTTTTTAAATTCACTATTCTGTCATCTGTTCCACTGGTACACCTACCACTTAGTTTCTGCAACACAAAGCTGATTGGTTGTTTTTGTATTTAGTCCATAGTACTCTCTTCCCACATACCAAGAGCATGTAAAATAGAAATCCTGAACAAAGAAATGTTAACCCTCCTCCTCCAGTATTTAATACAATACAATGTTAGTTTTATAGATTTTGCTGGAAAGACTCACTGCAATTTAGAGTAGCAGCACTGGGAACTGTCATAGGATTTTATATTCCCCCTGTAAGCAGTAGAGGTAAGTAAG